TGAGATGCAGAGTTTGCTTTAATAAACGCGGAGAGCGCACGGACTCTCATCGCAGAAATTACCGGTCTTGCGTTCTATTATCGTTCGCGAAGAGCAATTCTCCGGGCGAAGGGATAACCAAGAGTCTGCCGTCTCTCGTTGATTGCAACGCACGATACCCATTTTCAATTTCATCGATTCGATTCAATGGATAAGAACCGCGATAGACACCACTATTCACATACAGGTTCTTTCTCTAATACTCACATAGAACGCTTACTCGTTTCACCGTAGACAAATTAAGCTGTCAAGTTGTTAAGGTACATTGTTGTACAATTCTAAATGCGCGCGTTAAATATAAATATTATTTCGACATCGATTTATACCTCTCGAGTATCTCGCATAAAGAGATTTATAAATGCTCAAAATACTTGACTTTTCCCTCTCCGACGATCACCCTTCAGGCGAGAATCGAAGTATGCAATACTTTTCCATTCATGGATATGATGCGATAATGTTGGAGGGGAAAAAAGAAAAGTATGTTAACAATAATACTCAAATATATTCAGAATTTGATCTACGAGAAGTCTGAGGAGCCTAACGTACAGACTTCTTTTTGCTGATATCTCCCATAAGCGTGTTATTATAGGGGGAGAGGGGGGGGGGGATCCGTTTCTTGCCCGAGTCGGGGTCTCGAGAATCTTCACTCGCATACGAATACAATTTTCCTCGTCTACGTGGGCCCAACTCACACACGCGCGGACAGTTACCTATTGCAGGTGCGGAAATTAGAGATTAATGACGATGAGCGCCGATGCAAGGTTGCTCGTCGAGGTCGCACGGGTTAGTTTTCCTCCCGGCAGCAACAAACCCCTCCCCACCGAGAGATAATTCTCATATATATTTTGATTATCGTAATTCCGTCTTTCGTACGAAAACATGACGTTTACCTGGCGGATACCGGGACAAGAGTGATTTGTCGGATTAATGATGTAAATAAATCTCCGGGTACTCATTAACGACCGCTTGATGCGCTCATCGTGCTGTAAAATCTCCACCACGATGCACTCTACAGTCGCATTCTCATTAATGTTGTATACAAATATTTTATTAAAACATAAATAAAACATAAATAAAAATTGAGTAAATAAAAGTTGAATATATATATATATATATATATTTATAGAAATAAATAATTAATCTTTCTAACGACGTTGTATCAGATTTGTAATCTCAATTGCAATCGAGTTATAATTAATTTTCCACGCACGAAAATCTTGCGCATGAAATATTTTAATGTACTAAATGATTATTGGATCTTCGAAGACATATATCATGCAAACAGATGTCGGGTAAGATCCTTGAAAGATCACACTGATTATGAAACTGATTATGATCATTTGCTGCTCTTCAAAGCAAAACTGATTATCATCAGCGTAGCATGAGTTTAACAACATTAAGAGTCCAGACTACTTTAGAGAGTAGAAAAAATTAATTATTTAAATTTTCTGAAAGTATTATGTGTGAATATATCTTTCAAATTTTATTGAAAAATTTGCAAAATTGACAGAGTTATAAGACTTAGAATAAGATAGCGAGTGGGTCTTCAAATGAGCCTGCAAAACTTTAAATGTGTTTTCCTCAAAATACTGTTTTCAAAGTTGGTGTGATGGATATTTTGAAAACTAATGGATCAAATAACTGCATTTTTTTTTTAAATGGAAAGAAATACTTTTCTAGAGATACTAAACCTAAATTGAATTAAAAAATTTAATAATTAATATTTTTCTGGCCTTCATGAAATGAATAAATTTCAGTAAAATTGAAATATCTAATTTTAAAATATAGATTTAAAAATACTGACGTATGTTTAAACGCTAATAAAAACATATATAAAGTGCCAAAAAGATCAATTTCTAATATTCTTGCACAAAAAAAGATCCTAAAAAATATCAATTTTTTATACTGCAGAATAGATTGGATTCTTAAGTTTAATACGCCCGATCTGTCTCTTTTTTTTCTCGCTGCCGCAACCGTTATACATATTTTACGCGGTCTTTATGATGTGCGACATAAGTTATATCGTAGAGGAGTGTAACAGGACGCGAGGAAAAAATCGACGTTATAAGTGGTTAAAAAGCCGACGTTGCGTGCTCGCGACGGGGCGAACGATTGGTACATAATTTGGGGTGTTTTAATGCTTCTGAGAGAGCCGCGGATGCAGCAATAATGAACGATAATGGATTGTTAACGATAAATAATCGTATAACGAGGAATTCATTATTTATAATCCAAATAGTTCGTTGTGTTTATGCATCCAAAAAGTTTAAGTACAATATATCAAAGTAGTGATAAATTTATAATTGTTGCAATAAATATCGTATAAATATCGCCCATAGTATAGTTTATCAGTGCATTTTAAATCAATCTTTTTGGTTGCCGAAACTAGTAACACAACGAGATTTTAATATTAAAAATAATGTGATATTAGTTAAAGAAAAAAGAGAGAAAGAGATGAGAGAAGTGAGATCTATAATTCGAGAATCATATCATAAATCAGAATCAATAACATATGGTCTCTATTCGTGCGATGGAAAGCCTATTGAAAGTGGCAAGCGTATCCGCTACTGTTTCAATAAATAACCGCACAAGATATATTCTCTCGACACTTTTGAAAAGTCAAGGTTCCATAATCCTGATTAATATCCTCCGATTTGTACAGCTCGTAAAAAAGATTAATGCCGAATGTAAGCCGATGAATTTAATAAACAAATCACTGCATTATGTATATGTCTCAATTATTTTTTAATAACATGATTGTATTATATAACTGTATTTATAACATTTGTGGTATGATTATAATCATACAATTGAAATGTATGAGCGTAAGGTACATACGTCAATAATCAAAACTAAAGATTACTTTAATTAACAATTTCATTCATTTCAACGCAAATCTCGCAAATCACTCGGCTCGCTTCTTTCTGACACATCGCGTCGCTTTAATGCTACGTATATAGCAGGCGATTTAGAAACGCACCGGACAGACGGAGCCTGCTCGAACAGCTGGAGCAATCATTTCCGATGACGCGGTTCGATTGAGAACGGTATGCCCGCGCGCCGAGAAATCCGCTCGACCGCCAGATGAAAGGGGTAAAGCTTGCGGTACGCGATATGAAATTGTTCCTCGCGAATGTAAATATTTTTACCGGGAAAGGTCGATATTAAAAAATGCAATTAGATAAGAGGTTTTTTTTTTTTCGTCTTCCTACATCGAAGACATTTCGAAGACATATTTATTTATTAATTATTTTATATAATTAGTTTCATATTTTTCGAGATATATCAACAAATGTACTTGATAGTGGGCGATTTCCTGGAGCATTACACGGAAAAAAAACATTATCGCCACGTTGGCAATTTCATTACCGGAATAAATCGGCGATCTCGCAAATTTATCGGCAAAAAGATCGAACCGCCGGAGAATGTGGGTTTCCCTTATAAATTATAAGGAGCCCTAACGCACACCCGGCAATTCATCAGCTACCCCGGCAGTACACGCACGCGATGGTACCCTGCTGTGTACCGGCACACATTCACATATACATACATATATATACGTCACACATCCTCACCCCTCTCACCCTTCATCGTATACAATTACGTTCCTTCGCACAGTTTTTAACGACGTAAAAGGCGGTTCCCCACGTAAGTGCGGTATTCACTTAGGCCAATTCCCAAAAATTGTTCGAGTGAGATCCTTTAAACGGGGAAAAAATCGATCGACGACGACGAGGACGAGGATGAAGAGTAAAGTAGGGAGAAAGGGAGAAATTATCCAAATTCGTCCGGCCCGGTCGGCGATTTAATCGCGCGACGTTCGCCACCACGTATGTAGGATAAACATTAATGCAGCCCGAAATTGCATTGGTCGAGCGGGATGCGTCATTTTTGCGCGGCCTTACCTCTGCCTACGGCGACCAATCGCGATCGTCAGCTTAAAAACGGTACTCCGGAGATATTGCCGGTGAATTGGAGAGGGGAAGGAGACGACACACTTCCGGGGTGGCTACACCTGGTGGTACACCGATACCGTGTACGGCGACCACCTAACGCGGACGATATTTCGATTACCGGTCTGGTTGCGCGAAAAATTAATGACGGTGTAATAAATAATATCGCGGTATTATTATCATTATTATTATTAATATCGCGATGGGAAAGAAGGGCACTGTATCGGGTACGGGACATAATCATACATTCCCCCTCGTTTTTTATCGCATGAGATAATTATATATGTTCGACAGTGCGAAGGAATCGAACGACTGTTGTCGCGAAATCCTGCGGTAATATTTCATTTTACTTGCACGTGTACGAGAAAATAATTAGCTTCATTACACGCTCCGCGCATTCCCGCACTCGAGAAATTTTCAATGTCGATCGATATCGCAATTTCCTTGCAGTTTTTAAGAAATATAGTAAAAAGTTTTCTAAAAATTTAGACACATTTTTGTCTAAATTTTCAGATTTGGGTATCTGAAAGAAATTTCAGACAATTTGTCTTAATCATCAGAATCATTTTTCTGAAAGTTTAGAAGAGTATGTCTAAAAATGGAAGTATGTCTACAAAAAAGTTGCAGACACTTTGTCTGAAGTTTCAGTCAGTTTTTTTTTACGATGAACATTTGGCGCTTCCGTTTCACAACGGTAAAGTACGACGATAATTCGAGACAAATAATCCGTAAGACATACGTGATTACGCATCAAGTAGCTCAGTCGAGATGAATCGCGTCGATGAATACCGCTGTGATTCGCGACGACGAACTAAATCCACGAGAATTAGCTGGATAAATCCGCCGTCTGTGAGCGAACGCTTTTGCTGCTTAATTTAGACCAGCTGGCCAAGAGGAAGTAACGGAAGGCGCAATCGGAAATCATCAACGTTCGCGCAATGATTTGCCACTTGTTTCATAGCGAATGATTTCATAATTAGAGCCTTGGCAAGAGTTTTTATACTTTACCGTGGATATCGTTGACGCATATGTGAAGATCCTCCCGAAATATCGGCAGATCGAAGTTACACTGGCACGTGCAGGAACTATTCGGTACAAGCAGACTCGAGGAACTCGAGGAACTACGGGAGTAAGGGCTGGCGGTGCCGCTGCTGAGTACTGTACAGGCTTCTGTACAGGAACCTGTAACAAGTTTTATAAACTGTTTTATCTCGAGACACATATCTTACGCGATTTTTTTTATATAGATCGTGGTTTTTTATTTTTTAAATTCAACAACGTTTTAATCTACTCTCTTAAATTAAATTAGCGAAAACTGAATCAATTAAAGCAGATTTCACCGAAGATCAATAAGGATTTCATTGATCTTCAGCGAAAATACTCACATTTTGTTTCTTTGAAAAGTCAGTAATAATTCGACATACATATACAGCTTTTTTAAAACTTTTTTTTTATTTATTTTGGATCGTGCGCTATTTTTGAGAAAAGCCTTCACACACACATAGATAGATTTTTTTCTCCAAGAGAGGTATGAATAAAATTATTTAAATATATCAGTTACATTTTAACACGGTTAAAAATATACGATTATCAGTCTGCAATATTTCCTTCGTTGGTTGAATTTTAAAACTGTATCTTTATTTATTTAATTTTATCCAACTGTAATTTTTATTTCCTTGATTTCAGTTATCACATGTTGTTCATGTCGCGCATTACAATAAATCATCGTACGTTAACTGTTAATCAGCCAATTTCTCGAGAATCGACAAGTTGCTCGTGCGTGGAACGTGATTCGCGTGGATCTCTTGGTAACCCGAGATTGTCGAAAAAGGTGACGTATAAGTCGTCGCGTGTTCCGTCAGGACACGCTGTATAATTCAGCCGAGCAAGGACAGGTCGGACAGCTGTCAAACCGTTACATCGTAATTTCACGGTTAATCCGTTACGAGCGTCTTTTTACTTCACGTGTAGCGCGCTTGTGTCATACAATTTGTGGGCACAAAATCGTCGCTCTCGAATCATCGCATTTTGCTTCCGTGTACCGGAAAATCACGCGCGGCCCGAATCGGACGCAACAATACGCAACGCGTCATAATGTCATTATTTCCACAGCATCGCGAGAAAAATCGAATAGATAGAATTGAGGCAGCGACGAAAAGAAGAAGCGAAAAATCCTTTTACATTCGCCGCTATTGTTGCCATCGACGATGATAATTACAATGATAATATTAGAAAATATACACGTATTTACCTTCGATGGTAAAAATATCGCCATCGGAGTGTCTGATGACCGACAATTCCTGGCAGCGAACGACGATTTGCAGGAAGTGGAAGCAGCTCGCGAGAACGAGAGCTAGAGAACGCATCTTCCCCACAGCATTCTGCAAAGATAAATAAATAAATGTAGATCGTAAATGGAATCGACGGTGAAAGAAAAAAAGAGAGAGAGAGAGAGAGCGGGAGTTTTACGAGTTTCGCGTCGTGGAAAATCCCAAGATCATTATTAATGATCGCTTTTAATTCCGCGAAATTACGCAAGAGACTTTCATTTCCATCGCTCGGCCATAAACACGCATTTGTCAACAGAATTCCACGCACACATCAAGAACGCTTATTGCGAGAAAAATATGTAGAGATATGTAAAGCAAATGAGATATAAAAGAAATTATATTTTTCGTTACGTTAATGAATTAATTCTCTACATGCAATAGCGATATGATGGACTTTTTATATATTTGCTTTAAGATCGCTCACACGCGACGTGCAAGCATGAAGCGTAGAAATACACGCGAAAATTGAAAGGATACTAATTTAGCCATTAGAATCATTTAGCCATTAAAGTAATAATTTGAATTTCTTTGGTACAACCGGTTCGGGAAGTGTTATGATTACGGTCGTTAAGTAGAATTGCAATTAACCCCGGGACATTGGTACACAGAATCGAACCTTCGATGTTTCCCGCGTTTTTTATGTCTCGTAATAGATGCTGGTATACGCTGGACATGCTGGATTTGCGAGAAATTCACGAGGCACGAATCTATCTTCTCTTTTTTCGAATTAATAAATTGCAAGAAATGCAAGAATTTAATTTTTATCGCAATAGATTCGAAGACGATAATCGTCGAGAGTTCTGTCAATTCCTGTCAAATCATATTAGATGTCAAAAGTGAGTCGCGACTATATCGGGCTTGATTATATAATCTAGTTCCTCTCTCGCGCGAGTGATAAATCGCCGGTCGATGATTATGCCTCGTCATCTGAATAATTTCATTAGTCTCCGACGACAGGCGCAAGCGCAATTTCGGAAATTCTGCCGCAGGGATCCGAGACGCGAGAAGGAGATGGATATATATCTGTCTGTGTGTGTGTGTGACTGGAAAAAAAGAAAACGCGATCGTCGTTATTAATCAGAGGCCCGTTATCGGCGTGCCGTCTAAGCTCTTTTTTTTTTCAAAATGACGAGATATTTGACGTCTGCTTAATCTCGCCATTCATCATCGCGTCTCGCGTCTCCTTAAATGTAAATCTTTTATGCAAATCAGCGCTAAAAAGAGCGCGTGACAAAGTGAGATCCTGTAAAAATTCTGTTACTTTTTGGATTTTGTGCAACATGTTATTAAAATTCAATTAAAGAGCCTGAATCTTTCACTTATAATAATCATTTACATCGCGCGATCCGCTTGTCTTTGAGAAATTTAATAAGCGTTGTAAATGACTAGTTTTATTCGCCTACAACGTGCGTAATCACTCTTTCGCAATAATCTTCACGCTTAAGGGATTTCCACAACGGCAGATGTCGGAAATTATTAATACCACATCGCGATTATATTAATATCGAGTCGCGTCCAAAGTCCAACTATTGAATCTTAGCGCGGGTAAATGCTAACGAGTGCGCGGTAATTACACCGCGAGCTCTCGGCGAAATTGTGTTAATAATTTATTAACGGTGAGACGCATCTTTTGCATTGCACTTGTAACCGGATTGCACTTTGATTAAATTTTCTCTCTTCTTCCCTCTCTTTATTTATCTTTGCTCATCGTGAAATTACTTTGACGTATGCTTAAATGCCTCTCAGCTGACGGAGAAAAAGACGATGAAGAAAGTGTAGCTCTGACAGAAAATTTTTTCCCCTTCAGGTAGATATAAGTGACACTTTTCGCGTAAGAATCGGTATTAAAACGAGATTAGTCGATTAAAAAAATGTCAAAGGTGTCCGGGATAAGTGGATCTGTTGTTAAGTGAATTATGAATTCACCATCTGTCTCATCAAATGTATCTATAAAAACGATGGATCCTCATCTCGGAATTCAATTATAGCGTTTTTCGGAAATTCGTGTAAAGCGAACGAACTACCAATTTTTCTCGATGGCTGAACGAATACACGAGATACATAGAAAGAAAAATTTATGGGTTTCACGTAGTCGCTGATTTAAAAAATTGCCTATTGGTCACAGTGTCTATAAATCTCTCTAAATCGTAAACGTCGCTGCTCCTATTAAGTAAGGTATAAAAGCGCAATTTCAATAGCGACACTGTTTCAAAAATTCGTGTGCATTAAACTATACGGATTCTGTTGATCGACGCTTTAATGGGATGCTAATACGTTATTCCATTGATTGCCAAAATTATTGCCGATACCGTATAACACGTCCGAATAAGAAAGATGCTAGCCTTATAACTATCTTCTTTTATGAAGACGTTAAAAACCACATTATTTTATGATACTTTAATCCTTTTTATAATCCGGATTTATTTATTTGGTTTTCCAAATAGTATAAACATAAGAAATATGTTTGTTTTTTTTTTTTAATTTCGACAGCTTTTTACTATTGTACAGGCAAAACATCCTTAAACAACGGTAAGCGCGACTTGGCAGGAAGTGCAAGACTTTTCCGTATGTACCTCTTTACAGTCCGTCAACACCTGCACCAGATGCACACGTTCGATTTGCGTTCCGCACGTTGCAACGCGCCGCACACGTGTTATCTTACGCGTGCCATCAGCTCGATTGCGCATAACGCTAAGCTCCTTGCCCGCCGGTATTTCTTGCTCTATTGATCCGGTCTTGTGAGCGCGCGCGCGCGTGCAATTTATATCGATGCTCGCACGAGACATAAACGACGTCCTCTAAAGCGCGCATTATGCCCGCCACACAAGAAAAAAAAAGAGAGATTCAACGTACGATAGATATAATATACCTGTGGTCGGACGGCTCTTTACCGGACACGTGAGCTATCCTGAATTTCTTTCGTCCGAACATCACCGTTGCATAATATCGGAACGCGCTTTTTCACATTCAACATCCTGTCTCGTGGCACTAACCTAGCGAGACGTAATTCTCGCGTAAAAAAGTCTTTGTAATCCGTTTAAAAAAAAAAACGTAATAATAACTTTATAATTTTTTTTCCTATACAAAAATACGAAACATGTTAATGATTATAAAATATCATAATAATTTGTAATTTTAAGGGCCTAATCTACTCTAGCAGTATGAGGTATTGATAATTTCAAAGAATTTTTTTTTAAGAATATTAGAAATTGATATTTTTTAGCATTTTACATATGTTTCTATCGATGTTTAAACAGTACATTAATATTTTAAATCTTAGATATTTAGCTTTTTTTTTTTTTTTTATTAATACGAGCCTCTGCGCGTATTTTACTACCTAGCTTTTAATCAGCGGCAGATTATTCGTGTTTTCGAGCGCGCTTATCGATATAAAATAATAAAGATACGAAAGTGTCAAAAGCATACGTTTCCTCTTTTATCCAAGTAACTTCTATAATTTTATGCGATTAGAGCTGCGTCAAAAATTTAAAAATAAGAAGATGCGTCGTTCCCGCTCGACGTGCCGTGCAATTCGACCAATTTGCACACGTACCTATTTTCAACCGACAAATTATAGTGATTTAGATAGTGCGAAATGCATAGGTAGATACGTGTTCGTATGTCATACGCGCGAGTTATTTCGTAATAGTGCCAACAGTCACGGTCAATAAACAAAATGATCGCGGAAGAATGGTAGAAAGCGGTGACTTCTAGACGTGGTGACATCAATGTCGAAGAAGCCAGTTTTTCATCGACGTTGTGTGGAATTTATAGATGGATTTCGGAGAACGAAAAGATTCAGTTATGGAGTCTACTACGCGGCAGAGAGAATCTGTGCTTACAAATCTGTGATTAAGAGCCAATTTGGACTGATTGTTATCTGAAATGAAATTTAAGAGTACTATAAACTCTTCGATATCCATAATGGTAATTTACGAAAAAATCACCGCGATAAAAATAAAATAATTTTCCATAAAAATTTTACGAGGTAACGCCTCGTAAAGAATTAATTTATTCGGAAATCTACCCAGATAACGAAACTCAATCACATATACATTTTGCTATCACAGAATGTTAAAAATGACTACCGAGGCGACTTGAAGACACTTTCTCAATTGCTACTGAGAAGAAAAAATTAAGATAGCCTCCACTCACACAAATATGAGAGCAAGATTATATGTATATATACTGGTACTTTATGCAGTAGAATTAATACTGCACGAGAGGACCGGAAATCAGTTTCAGCCTAAAAATAGCGGTATCCGTGTGTATTTCAACGTATAAAAATTAAAAATTATCGTGCTTAAATTACCGACGTGCGCAGACGAGCGCAGATTCGGGGCCCAGGCCCGAAACTTCGCCGCCATCGACGGCGATTGTAACACACGGGATATATGTATAAGCGAAACCCCGTTATCGCATAAATATACGCGAACCCGATGTTAATAGCGGCGTTTTCGCGTGCTCTCGCAATTACCGTCGCCACGAAAAGAGCGGTGCATTAGTATTCCGTGCGATTCCTTCGGTTCTCCTCATCATTGCGTCGAAATATAAACAGGCGCCTTTTAAAGGCCACGATACGAAAACCACTCGTTGAGTTTTTCGTTTCTCTTTCGCGAGTTTAACACAACGAGATAAGTTGTTTTAAATTTTCACTACAAAAAATTTTTTTTTTATTTAGACACTTTTTTGTCTGAATTTTCAGATCTGGGTATCTGAAAGAAATTTCGGACGATCTGTCTTGATCATCAAAACCGTTTTTTTGAAAATTCAGAAAAGTGTGTCTGAAAATTGAAACAGTGTGTCTACAAAAAAGCTGTAGACACTTTGTCTAAAGTTTTAGTCGGTCTTTTTTACAGTAAAGATGGAAAATTGGCAGAAAATTGCAACCTAAAAGCGAATAATTAGAAGTAATTCGTCCCATAGATACTAAAAATAATTAATTTATCTATAACGAGATAGAAAAATAATGATGAAAAAATAGACTCTGTCAAACTTTTAATCTGCTGAAAAGAATTATGCTTAGAAACACAAATGTTCTAAAAAAATAT